CATACTTTTTTTTATTCATTATTTGGCTTTTAAAGTATTGGGAATGATGAGATGTTGATAAGCGCCTTATCTTGCACCTACTGCAAAAATAAATTATAAAAATGGGAAAAAATGAAAACTTGCATTACAATTATTACCCATTTTTGTGTATTCTTTTTACTTGCACCGGCTGCTCTATGCATGTACATACATAATAAAAAGAACAAAACGGAAATGCTTTCAAGTGTAATGATAAATGAACGCAAACTCTGAACATAAATCAACACTGTGGAAGGAGGAGATGGCACGTCGGGTGCAGGGGGTAGGGTTTTAGTGTGTAGGTAGAGATGCACCTCTGGCTATATATTGTTATGATACTGCGGATGATGCCGCTGATGGGTTAAGCCCAACTTCAGTGGCAAACTAACTACAAACAGGCTGGCTTCTGTCCAACCCAACCTGCCTCCCCCTCACCCATTGGGATGATTTAAGCGCTGCTGCTCGCCTCCAAATGTGTTGTGGGAAATATGCATAAGAGCAACACCGGCAAATAGCACAATAAAAAAAATATATAAAAATTATATATACATATACACGCATATAGTACAATATTTTTAATTTGCACATTTTTTGTCAGCAAATGCCACACAAAAAAAAAAAGCTAGAAACAATAAAAGTTGAGTGCAGTGGCAAGCAACGACAGGCGAAAGGTGCAGCTGCCACACCCACAAAGAACCCGTAGAGAGTTCGCTCCTCATCCACATCCTCCCCCTCCCCACCCAACCCTGATCCTCAGGCGATGTAAGGCACCCATGTGAGCCATTGCACACAGATACATTCACACCCGCATTCACATTTATATTCGCATTCACATTCGCGCCGAGTCGCATCCGTTTCGGGTTGAAACATTTTTTTCGAAATTGCATTGTGAATAATGTAGTGTTAATTCTCGTGAGTGCCATGTTCCCTGTTTTATGGGTTTAATGCTTTTGTTTATTGGTCTGCTTTTGCATCAAGCGCGCGTCCGAGTCCGAGCACACAGGGGAGTCACAGTTCTCGGGCTCTGGATCAGAATTGGTAACACCACTCGTTCTGGTTGGGGGGCTGCTGTTGCTTTTGACATTTGATAAGAAAATGCAATTCGCTTTTGGCATTTTGGCTTTTAGTGTTTGCAGCTTTTCAGCTTGTCCAAGCATTCTTCTCAGCTTTAATAATTTTCAAATAATGGAAGCAAGGCAATGTCATAAATATTGATAGTATAACGAACAAACAGAAGCCAAAGTTCGACTATAATGGCAACGGGACACGAATGCTGTTTTTCCTCCATATATCCCCACAGAAAGTAGTTTAATATCAAAAAGTATATTCGGTTGTATTCTAATCACCTTAATTGGTGAATGAAGTTCTGTAAATATATTTTACATATTTTATCGAAGAAATTAATTTTCTTTTATTCTATTTTAGTTAAACATATACGAGTATTTGACAAGACAGCAAACCGCAGGTATCATAGGGTATTCAATCTGTAGTTCCCTGCTCATAAATATTTGGGCTAGTTTTATTTATTAAAAGTATTCACTTTGATCTCATTCGGCATTAAGTAAAATTTATGACACTGCCGGCTACCGGACACTTAAATTGATTTTTATCGCCTTTCAACACGACAAAACTTTTTGTTGTCATGCATAAATGACGAGTTAGTTGCTAATAGACAATCAATAATTATGATTGACAATATATATGTTCGTTTTGTCATTCGCATTTCAATTAAATGATTTTCCGACACATTTCAGAATATGTCACAAGCTTTTCATAAATAATCGAGCTCACTTTGTAATATATCAAATTAAAATTTTTTATTGTTGATAGATTATGCAATTTCTGTTGGCTATTTTGTATGCAAATTACTTGCAATTGTTGCAATTTTGTAGTTTAAGTAATAGTTTATGTTTGAGCGAGCAAATTACTTGCATAGTTAAATTTAATTATGCACATGTCATTTCAAGAAGCACTCACAAATTCTAATTGTAAATGTTTGCCAAAAGTATTTCCACAAAAATGAACACAAACACACGGAAATCGCAATACACACATTTTGTCACATTTCTCAATGTCGGCAATAAATTGGATTTTCATTACAATTTTCCATTAAAAGTATTTGTAATAATTTTTGATGAATATTTGCTCGGCTCCCAATTAGTAATCTAAAATAAGTTAGATATCCTGTAATCAGTTAAAAAGCAACAACTTAGTAATTTTATTATTTTTTTATATTTTAAACTTAATTTCTCCTTTTTGTTTTAATATAATTTAATTTGTAACAATACATTTATATCATATATTTGTTTGCTAATATTCAATATGCTCATTTTATCTTTCTGACTGTGTATTCAATATTCAACTGAAATTTAAATCATTTTTTTGGTACTTTTCGAAATTTTCCAAGTTATTTAAGCTTTAGACATTTAATAGCTTAATAATAAAGTTAACGTTTAAACTGTTTTCACGCTACCACCACACGGTCTGTCCCCCTCAGCAACAGCGTGTGTGGGTCGCACTTAAAGCAAACATAAGAACACAATATATAAATAAATATATATATATGTATATATATATGTATGTATGTGAAATCACATGGCACATATGGCAGATGTGCTCAGGTTCGTCGCCAGAGCCGAATAAACAATTTTAATAATTTCGTTTTATGAAAATTGCGCTCGGGTTAAATGATTCGAGAAGAATGCGAGGAAGCAAAACTCGTAGCGTTTTATGGTTTTTTCTTTTTATTTTCAGCGTTGCCAACGGCCCTCTGCCTCCACATAAGCCCCTTCGCATCCTGCTTTGTATCCATTTGATGCCATTGTTCTTGCTGCCATTTGCTCTGGCATTGCCATTGCCATTGCCATGTGTGTAATTTATCTGGGCAAAGGACTTTGGGAATGATATGAAAATGTGTGTGCTTGCGAGCATTTGATACTCTTCACATTCTGCTGGTCTTCTCAATTAATGTAAAAGCTACGAATGCCTCAATGCTGAAGGACTTTGAGTTTTATTTGATTTCAGACTCTGCAAATCTAATCAGCAAAATTCGTGCGCTGCAAATCTCTTTTAAATGAGCCACTAATTGCAAACTAGGATGATAATCATGTACCCAACACTCACCCTTAACCAACTCCACCCCCTCCCTTCCGTTCCGTTTTCCCCTTAGATACATTTACAAACTAATCAAGAGGCGCGCTTTGCTTTAGACATACATACGTATATAGATAGGGGCTGGCTTGGGAAAAATTCTTTTAGCTAAGAAGCAATTATCGCAGATAGGAAAAGGAGTTTTTGCGCTTGTTTTGCGGCAAGTTTTGGGATAACTTTTGCACTCTCTTTCTCTCTCTCTATCATTTCGCAATACCCCTTCTTATTTTTGCCTTCTGTCTCTCTGTTTGTGAAGCACGTTTATCAGTGGCTAAGTTTTTACTTCAGGCTTTGGTCTTTGCTTGCTCATTGTTAACTTTTCTGCCTTACTAATGGCTATCAGAGATAAGTTCGACTACAAGCCAAAGTTTTATTTTGTAAGCAACGTTGTTAATCTGTTGAGTATATGAGAGGGGAGGAGGTATTGAGAAGGGCGGTGGCTGGCCCCAGGACGAGTGCTTTTAAAAAGTTATCAACAAGCATTCAGCAAGAGATACGAGTATTCTGTTCAGACATATAATCAAACACATGTTACTGCCATATTCACATATTCACTCACACACACACACACCCATTTACATAGTGCTAATCAAGTGTGATTTGCTGGCAACTTGTAGCATGCCACCTGCTTACTTTTTGGCTTCTTTCTTTTTCGCTTATTCGGCAAATGTGTGAGATTAACTCATTTTTGCTCTTTGGCATTAGAGTTAAAAGACCTTTTTTTTCACGCACTTTATCTATAAAAGCATAAGCTTTTCGGCTTATCCAAAATCAATTTCTAATTACCAACAGCGAATAAATAAGTTAATATAATTTGATTCACTATAGTAATTGAGAAAGTAATTACATTATTTTTAAATACACAAATTGTTTAAATTGCTTAGCACAGTTATCACAGTTTTGGATATCAAAATAACTAGATTTTAACTCAATTTACTCGAGTTAACAGGTGCAATAAGCCAACGTATTTACTTTAATAATTGCCATTGTAAATCTACTTAATATGAAATCAGTTCAATTTTTCAGAAAATACAATTTGTTTTAATCTTACACACAATTCGCATTTACAAAAGCTTTAAAATACAATTTTAATCAGCAGTTGATATGCAAAATGTATATATATATATATATATATATATATTATTGCTATTCGCTTTTGAAATTGTCAGATGCTGTCCGTCTGAAATATGTACATGTATGTATGTATTTATGTATGTATGCATGTATGCATATATGTGTATATGTGTGGGCTGGCTGACAGTTGGGCGGGTGAATAGACATCTAGATTGGGTATGATGAGATTATTCGAATTACCTTTGCAATCAAATTGACACCGTATAGAAGTACCGTTCCAGACTGTAGACTGAGTGGGACAGACAGACAGCTGGGCAGCCAGGTGCGGTTGCTAGGTGGGTGTAAGTGTGTAAGGGTAGAAGGCATCTGGTTAGGCAGGAAACAGACAGCGTTAAGCAAATGCGATGTATGCAATTGCAGAATCACACAGAGATTGAAAGAGAGAGAGAGAGAGAGAGAGAGAGAGAGAGAGGGAGCGAGAAAGGGAGAGGAGTAAGAAATCAAGAATTGATGGGCATACATTATATACATGTAGTTAAGTATATGCATTTCCCAGGCATAGATAATTCAAATGAAATTTTCACCAATGCCTCAAACACACATTTTTCATGAGCATCGAGAACCGAGTAGGCTCTAGATTAGTAGCAAAAAGGAATTTTAGAGGCAACGTTGCGACATTTACAAACATTTTTAGATCTTGAATGGAATAAGTCCATAAGTAAAATGTCGGAAATTAAATTGGAATATAATTGCAGACAGTACGAGATAGAAGCCATTGAAATCCTTTTTGGTATGCTGAGCTTGCGGCAGCCAAAGGATAAGAATCACCTGAACGAATCCCTTACGAGTGGCATTGAGAAGTTTGCAGTGGGTGAGGAAACCGTAGAGCCAAATCTGGAGAAGATACAGCATCATGAGAGCGTAATCGTTGGAGTGCTCGAGAAACAGCACAAACAGTTTCCAGAGTACGAGGGAACAGCTATGGCTGTAAGGAAATCACTTGCACCGAAAGCATACTGCTTCAAGGACATCTACGAGCAGAAGAAACAACGGGTGCAGCGCCAGCGTCTCGAGTTGGAGCGTGCTCAGCGTCAGTTTCACAGTCGTCCCATGCCCAACTTCAATCATGCCCACCAGCAGCTGGTCAACAAGCAGGACGTCCAGCGCATCACCTTAGCCGTGACCCCAAATGTCCTGAAGACATCGCGCGACATGCAGCTGAAGCGTCTCCAGCGCGTTGAACAGGCGTTGCAGCAACGCGAACAGGAACAGCTTCAACTTCAAAAGATGCGCCCCCAAACGAAACCGGTGCCCAAGTGCACTGCGCCACCTCTGAAGCCCTTCAGCAGACAACCCAAGCAAACATGCCCGTTGGCCTTCAAACCCTTCCACTTCTCCACCGAGGTTCACGCGGAGCAGCGCAAAATGTTCAATGCCCATTCGCATCAGTTGCAGGAGACGCGTCGACGCGAGCAGGAGGAAGAGCTGAAGCGTCTGGAGCGGGAGCTATATCGAAAGCAACGCCAATTGACCATATTCCGTGCTCGGCCAAATCCTTTTAGGTAGCTGCACAACAACAAATGCAGTTTTTTGTTTTTCTTTGTTTATTGTTTGTTTTGTTTTTGCTTCTTTTGTTGCAAATCACAAAGTTTTGGTTACTGTTTTTTGTGAGAATTGAGGTTAACTAGAGCAATAACTATAAAACAAGATGCGTTATCTGTTTACGGGTTATGATTTATAAATGACAGACAAGACTAAATAATAACTTTGAACTTTTACTTTGGTACGTATAGAATATAGAAGTATAAGTATCCAATTCTATTGAATCAAGAAACCATAGAAAATCATAAAAATACATTCGAATATGCTTTAAAGTATTGTCGAAAGCAAAAAAAAGTAACAAACTTCCAATTTCTTTCTTAAATAATATAATTAATAGCTATTCTAGAACGATGCAAGACTAACGCTTACATTAATCATCTCCCATGGAAGGCAGCTCAAATACAAATACACAATCTGTATGCATTACTATATGCGGCATCGTCGGGATATACTCGAGACGAGTTTTTATTTTTTGTAGGCACATTCTTAAATTTCAATAATCATCTGCACACATGTGTGCACATTCAATTTGTTCATTTAAAATAGCTCAGGTCGAGGCTCCATCAATCAAACGCTTGGCACTCCAACCCGCAACCCCCGGCGCCCCACAAACTGCGACACACGCTCCCTGAAACCACCCACGTGTTTCAGTGCAAACAATTTGTTGTAAGCGTATCAATTGATGCGCCCCACATTCGCATGTGTTTGTATATGTACGTGTGTGTGTGTGTGTGAGTATGCGAGTGTGTGTGTGTGTATATTTGAGCGTCACATAATCAAAAGCACAAATACTAAAACAAGCACTCAAACTGTCAAAGCAATGATTGATAGTGTTGACATTTGCTTTTTGGCTTCAAAACGCCAAGCAGCGAACTGAAGAGTTTTTGTGCATTGAATTCTGTTAATGGGACGTTTGGCGATGTTATACAAAAACCTGCCCCATTCCAACCACCCGCCTACCCACCCACATCACTTGTCTGCTATACCACCTCACCTGACTTTCAGTATGTGTGAATGATGAATTGCATTGCATGTGTTTATATCGAGGTTGAGGGAAATTTGTATTCATTGCAAATTTGCTGTCCAAGTTTAAAGGTGTTGTTCAATTCGAGCGCATTGTTTCAAAGTAAATATCTGAAATGTACCCAATGTAGCATTAAATATATAAATAAATATATTAAATATATTATATTTGCTAAAAGAAATGGCTTCCATAAAAACAGATGAAGTTATGATTTGACTTATACATATATATAATTTTAATATATATAATTTCAATTTTTAAAATTCTAATGTTACTTTTTTTATTTTCACTTGCAAATTGTTTTACTAGCTTTCCCGTACAAGAAGATTAAGAAAGCAATTTGCCTTGTACTTGAAAAACATAGTAGTTAAACTGTAAACGCAACATTTTCGATTTCCCCGTTAACGGTTCAATCAGAAACTGTGCTAACGGTTAACAGTATAACAGTTAACTTTGTCGCTGTTGTCAATAGATGGCGGACTGTTGCCCTAACAGAGCTGTTAATTTCGCAATGGAATATTTACAATGAGTTTTGATGCGTTTTGTGCACAGCTAAAATGAAATGTGAAAAAGTTATTTTATTATTTAAAGGGTACAAGATTTTTTGGTTTTAATATTTGAAATGTGTAATCCAACTCAACTCCGTTTTTAATAATATAGCTAATGAACGATATAAAATCTGAACAATGTTGGAGCTCGGTTTTAAGCTGAGCGCGTAACAATTTTGTCGCTTGTCGCATTTGGGATATGAAAGCATAAAGGGAGGACAGCGGGGAGCTGACGCTCAACGGGGCAACAATGGAGCCAAATTTGATGGTTGCGTTTTGTGTCGCTGTGTGTGGGTGTATGAATTCATGTTTGGTTTTTATGTGTGGGTTGTTGGTTAAATAAGATGCTAGCTGAGTAAAAGAGGATTTGCGAGCAATGAGGGAGGGAATGAGGTGCTAGTTGGGGTGGCGAATTGGCGGGGATGATGCGTTGACGACTCGCCGGCAATCTACAAAGTTTCGTTGGCGTTGGCTTTTTGTTTGCGGCTTGGCACAGTGTGGAATTTAATAACGCGCTGATGCATGCAAAATAACGCATAAAAACGTAAAAGTGCACACGCAAAAAAAAGGGGCAAACAAATTACAACACCACAGGCAGAAACCTTCACACAGACACAACAATACTCACACACACAAACACACACACAAAAACACTGCCACACACTAAGAGTCAAAAGAGAATGCGGCAACGAACACTGAGACAGCAGCTTCAGTTGCTGCAGTAAAACAATTTTCGCAGTCAATTTTCCTTTTATGAGCGGAAAACATTTCACTGTGGAAATATGATATGCATATTGACAGCTATCAAACCGATATCTCCCCAAACCCCAAAACACCATCACCTCAACCACCGCCTGACTGTTATCAGCATCCTTCGATCGAAAACATTTGCGTTCAACTTTAATTGAAACGACAAATAATGCGTTAAGTCAATCGAAAACAAAATAAAGCACAAATTTCAATCAGATAGTAAAAGCAAAGAAAAAGTCAATATGAAAAGTGCTAAAAAGTTCTCAAATTGCGACATAAAACAGCAACAGAACAGAGCAGAACAGAAGCAAAGTGGCAGGTAGTCGTAGATGCTTTTGCATTTGCTGCATAAAGTCAAAGTCATTAAAAAGTAATGTCATCGTCAACGCACCCAGCCACGCCCCCAATCTACAATTGCCTCAGTCGAAGCAGGACACGGTGTGGAGGGGAGGTGCTGATTTTTGCCTGTCTCAACTCCTTTTGCTGCCAGGCCCTCCATTAATGATGGATGAATACTTGAGTCGAGTCTAGAGTCCTGAAGTCGTGGAGTCCTGGAGTGGCGAGTCCTTGACTGGCGGCTGTTGCGCACCGAAAAATGATTTGATGAAAACATTTGAAATTTTTATCGGGTGCAAAATTATTCAGAACTGTTGATGTCATCGCCACAGCCACAGAGAAATGATGACGATGCGAGTGACGTTGAAATATGAAGCGACATTACCTACTCTTTCTAATGGCAGCCGCAGCAGCAGTAGGAACTCCTGCTCCTACAGCTACTGAAACTAGGGGCTGCAATGATTGGCCTTTTTTCTGGGTCCTCCCCCTTTTCTACCGGCGCTGACGGGACGGGAGGGGACGGGCTTAAGAGGCAACGGAGCGTGTCTGTTAGCTCTGCTTGGTCTTTGCCGATAAGAAGTTTGTTATATTTTGTTGTTGTTTTTACGACAAAAGGTGGTGGTGGGTGGAGGGGGGAAGGTTTAGCTTGGGGACTTAATTTTTATTAACATTAGAAGTGCACTTAAAATTTGTAATAAATGACTTTGCAATCGATTGGAAGACAAACGATTTTATATGCTCCATAAAGTTTGATACGGTTGAACGAGCAGGCTATATAAAATACATTTACAAAACTATGTCACACATATATATATATAAGTTTAAAATGACCAAGAATCAATATATATGTGGAGCCATTAAACAATCATTCGGATGCTTAAATGCCGGCAAGTGATCATAAAAAAAGTTTCTACATTATTTGAATTAGTAAAAATCATATCAATTTCTTTATGATGCTCCCCAAAGCAATTCATAGTTTTGCGGTCCATTAGTGATGTTAGCTAAGGCTTCAATCTTATAGGATATTAACTGCTATTTGGCAAAGACTCTGGATATTGAATTTTACGTGACATTTAGCTTAGGACAGTAATCAGAGGGTGTATGAGTATATGAGTTGTTTTGAGTGTATGTTGCGAAATATGTATGCCCCTAATTTTTAACAAAAATGTCCCTTAAGATAAACAAAGGACAAAGACAGAGGGTTTTTAAGAATGTGTATACTGAACAGATAGCTCTAAATATTTGTAGAGGAAGCAATATACTACTGCCGATAATTATTGCTATTCTGTTTAGGAATCAGAAAATTAGCTTTCTTTAACATTGCTCTTGTGGTGGAAAACTTAAAGTAAAAGCTAAAAGCAGTTAATGGAATTTTTTTAGGATCTTCTGGTTTATTGACCATTCATTTGGTAGACCTTATCTTTTATTACGGCGCGTGAAATTCATAAACTTTGAGCAAATTGCGGCAAAGTTTTACGGACTTAACATGACAGTTACAGAACAGTACATGTTTCTAGGAGGACGAATGCGCACTTGCATACTATGTACCAAGAATCATGTACCATCTACCATCTACCATCTACCATGTACCATGTACCTTCTACTATGTATGGCCATTATAAAAGTTTATTTTTTTACATGTGTCTAGGGATGGGGTAGGGGTAGGGTAGGGGGGTGGGGGGTTCTCTCATGGGTGTTACGCTGACGCTGACGCTGACGACTGTGGCTTCAGGTTTTTTATTGCCGGGCGCTGTTTGACGTGAACCTGGACGTGAATGCGGACACCGATGTGGGCTAGTCGGTTGGGGATGTGCGGTTGTTCCGTTGATTCGTTGCTTGGTTGTTTGGGGATGTGTGTGTGTGCATTAGTGTGTGTGTGTGTGTGTGTGTGTGTGTGTGTGTGTGCGTGTGTGTGTGTGGTGGGTACGTGTGCTGCTCCCACAGGTGACGATGGCCTCGTTTATGAACAAACAGCAAAATGTTGTCAACATTTCGAAATTTATTTGTTCAATATACTTATAAACACACACAGAGACAGACGCAGAGACAGAGACAAACGATGAGCATATGTTGACTAAGTGTGTGTGAGTGTGTGTGTGTGTGTGTGTGTTTCTCGGCAGTTGTGTGTGCGTGTGTTATTAAATTAAACACAGAGCTGCCATCAGCGCTGGGGCCAAAAGCATTCATTAGCCACGTTTACTGCACCCGTGGCGACCTCCATTTTGGCTGATGAGTTTTGTTTTTTCTTGTTATTTTTTTTTCGTGTCCTACGTTGTCCTGCAAGGAAAACTTTCCCGCTGCGTATGTTTGTGTGTGCGTGTTGTGTATATGCTTTTTGTTCTGTGCCGTGTCTGTGTGATTACCCAGCTGGATGTTGTTATTCAACTATCCTCGGAAATGTGCTTCCGATCTTGTAACTACTTGTTACGGAATATATTTATTAATTCTCAGTTCATTTGAAGGTTATATATTTCACAAGAA